TTTTAACATATAATGTATTATTTGTTTCAGAAGTACAGGACTGTGATTCAACAGTCTTAACACAATTCACAGCACTCACCATAGCACATACCCTCGCCAGTGTCTATCACCCAGCCACCCCTTCCCTCCCACCCCCCACCACTCCAGCAACCCTCAGTTTGTTTCCTGAGATTAAGATCATCTTTTTATTTTATTTTTATTATTTTTTTATTTTTAGAGAGAGAGAAAGAGAGCCAGCATTGGGGGGGGGAGGGGGGGGCAGAGGCTGAGGGAGAGAGAAACTCTTAAGCACACTCCACGTCCAGCGCAGAGCCTGACACGGGGCTTGATCTCATGACCGTGAGATCATGAGCTGAGCCGAAATCAAGAGTTAGATGCTTAACCCATTGAGCTGCCCAGGTGCCCCTCTGTTTCATCTTTTTAAAAAATGCAGGCCGTAACCAATTGAACTGATTCAATGAGTTAGTTTGGAAAACACTTGACATAGTGCTTAGAAGCACAAATTTTATTTATTTGTTTTTAAAATTTGTTTTAATTTAAATTTAATTAACATATAATGTATTACTAGTTTCAGAGGTAGAATTCAGTGATTCATCAGTCTTATATAATACCCAGTGGTCATTGTATCACGTGCCCTCCTTAATGTCCATCACCCAGCTACCCCATCCTTCCACTGCCCTCCCCTCCAGCAGCCCTCAGTTGGTTTCCTATGATTAAGAGTCTCTTATGGTTTTTCTCCCTCTCTGATTTTGTCTTGTTTTATTTTTTCTCTCTTCTCCTATGATCCTCCATTTTGTTTCTTAAATTCCACATATGAATGAGATCATATGATAATTGTCTTTCTCTGATTGACATTTCATTTAGCCTAATACCCTCTAGTTCCATCCACGTCATTGCAAATGGCAAGATTTCATATTTTTTTTTGATGGCTGAGTAGTATTCCATTGTATATATATACCACATCTGTATCCGTTCATCTGTTGATGGACATCTGGGCTCTTTCCATAGTTTGGCTATTGTGGACATAGAAGCACAAGGTTTAGCATTGAAGGGATCTAGATTCAAATATCAGCTCTATCAGTTACTAGCAGTACATCCATGGAACTCAGTTTAAATGTGCCTGTTATGTAGTTTTTTAGGAAGTAGTGATTAATGCTAAGGAAAATGTTACTGTACTCAAACTTACCTTAATCAGTTAAGATTCCTTAGATCAATACATACGTTATCCCACATCAGAAAGGCACTCATTCCTTACTTAGACCAGCACTCTATTCTGTGGTTTCCCAGAAGAGATGGCCAGAGTTGCAGAAGTTCCTTCTCCCTGCCCACTTTTATGCGACTTCTGCCATGTTGCAGTGTATCTTTGTGAGAGGACTGTTGAAGGGCTTTAACAAAGATATTGCTATGGAAACATTTTTTTTTGTAGATTCTTAATACACAGTGGCTGTCCAGTAAAAGACAAAAATTGGTCCCTTTTGGGAAGGTATGGGTTTTCAGCCTATCTTGAATGATGTGTGCCAAAAGTATATTTTGCTTATGTAACATCCACTTAGTAGTTACCACGTACCCAGGACAGTGCTTTATAACACCCCTTTTTAAATCCTAATAAACAACGCTATGAGTTAAGCGCTACTATTAACTCCCTTTTACAGGTGAGGAAACCAAACCAGGTTAATCAACTTGCTCAAGGTCATGTGTGTAGTAAATAACAGGGCCAGGATTGAAACTTAGGAAGTCTGGCCCAGACTCAGGGCTCTTAATCACCATGCTATTGCTTATAACATGACCTCTTATAAAAAACTACAAATCAGTAAGTTTTTAACTTGAGGTATAACTGACATATAACATTATATTACTTTTAGGTATATAATGATTTGATATTTGTATGTATTGCAAAATATTCACCATAATAAGTCTAGTTGACATCCATTACCATACATAACCTACAAATCTTTTTTCTTGTGATGAGAACTTTTAAGATCTACTCTTAGCAACTTTAAATATATAATACAGTATTATTAACTGTAGTTGCCATGCTGTACATTACATCCCCATGACTTCCATGTTCTGTCACTGGAAGTTTGTACCTTTTGACCCCCTTCACCCATTTTTACCACCCCACCCCCTGCCTCTGGTAACCACTAATCTGTTCTCTGAATGTAAGAGAACATTTTTTTTTATTTATTTGCTTAATGATTAGATGGATGCTAGCCATTTAATCTGTATCCCAAATGAATGAATTTGGATTTTTGAAGTTTAAGAATGCGTCAGGAATTTGTCTCAGAACACTTTGCGGTTTTTTCAGGTACAATGCGTATCTTAAGTGGAAAAATAGAATTAGATGAATGGGTTAAATATTTTTGACTTCTGATGAGTGGTTATGAATCATAGATTACTTTTACGTGAGTTACACTGGACTAGGAGTCAAAATAATGGCTCCAGGTTTTGATTCTCCTGTTTTCTAGAAACATGAATTGGGACAAGTCCCCTACTCTCTCTGCCTTTGTTGTCCACCGTCTGTCTATCCTAAATGGTAATGGATGTTTGGAAGTGCTTTTTAGAAATGTAAGGTGCTTCTTGTTCAAATTATTTACAACAGTTAGATTATCAAGAAGTGGCTAGGTTTGGAAAAATCAGTCTGTTCATTATTCTTTCTTTAGATTTAAAAAAAAAATGATCTCTGTGCATGTGAATTATGCATACAAGCTAAATGTGTTCCCAGTATTTAGTAGAGGGCAAAATAAAATGTAAAGTTCAATGTATACTCTAGAGACTATGTTAAAATTATATATTCCTTTTAAGAAAAGCTGAATGACATTTAAATGACATTTTTCTGTTCTACAGAAACCAAAGGCAAATACCAAAGTAATTTGTAAGCGTTGCAAGGTAATGTTGGGAGAGACCATGTCATCAGGTAAGAATTTCATAATAAAAAAGCCAAAATGATTGCCTTCTTGTTAAAAAAGAGTAGAAGGAGATTTTATAGGAAATATATATTAAAAGTAACTAATATATGTTATAGAATTGATGATTTTTAAAATAGAAATCAGCTAACATATCATCTAATATGCCAAGAAATTTGTATATTTAGACCTTTATAAGTACATAGTATTGTGTTTTAAGCATTAAGAAGTTGGGTCATTTTCAATATTTCATATCCTCTCTGTGGTTATAAAGCAATAGTATAAAGTTTGTACCTGGGTCTGTCCTAAAGAATAGCGGAGCTTTTTTCTCAGTACAACTCCTCAGTCAGAATTGTTGGTTGCTAAAGATGATGAAGTTTTCTTGGCTTCCCTCTGCCTCAGGGCTCTATGTTAGGGCTGGGGGTTGAAATGGAAGAAACCACATTCTGAGTTTTGTACTCTGTTCCTTGTTCATTATGTTTATGTAAAGTCTGTTATACCACTTTCAAATATAATAAAATCCTGATAATTAAATTGCATTGTTATTTAAAGATAAGGTTTAAAAATGTCTGGAGAGCTACAACATGCTGCATTAGCTTTGTGGGTGATGAATAATTGTTTTTAATATAATTAACTAGAAGATGTGATTTAAGTGAAGCTAGTGTACCCAAGAGAAGGCAGATGGTGGTCTTTTTTGTTTGTATTTTAAAATTATCAGAATATTGTAAGTAGTTACTTGCTCAGAGTGAACAGAAAAGGAAGAATGGGTAGGGGTAAAGGATGCCACCTTCAACGTCGTTTTGGAGAATGAAAGCAGGTGCTTTAAGCAACAACTTAGAAAATGTTAAGGCCTCTAGTCAAATTAGGTGAATTGATTTTTTTTTTTATCCTTTTCTCCCTGAAGCCCAGTTAAAATGTCAGTTAAGGAATAAAAAAGATGTACATCCACAGAGAAAGAAAAATGGAGAGGAAGCAACAGTGATGTAAACAAGAGGTATAAGCAGACTCTTTTGGAAGCTGTAAAGCTGAGAGGTGTGGGAATGCGCTTGGCAGTACGGAGGAAGTTGCAGCCTCAGTGTCTGCAGATCATCTGAGGAGTGAGCCAGTACTCACTGTAGAGCCGCAGAACTAGTCTGCTCAGAATTTGTAGGCAGCACGTAACAGGGAAAGCAGTCTGAGACAAGGGGCTGGAGGAACAATGATTAATTCAAAATTTTTATATGGAGCTGTAAGACAACTAAGATTCCTTCTCTGTTTACAACTTGCTTATACTCTCAAGGCAAGAGATTAGACGACTCTTTTCTTGGAAAATGGAAGAATACCAACCAGAGAAGAGATGTGCAGACACTGATTTGTAAGGGTCTTTCCACAGTAAAATGAGATTCAGCCATCCTACAGTCAACAAGCCTTGTACCTACGCCTGAGAGTTTCCTGTCAGCATTTTATTACCTTACACTTAAGTATGAATGGATTAATGAGAATCAACAAGTATTTGAGCAAACCTCCAACTATAAAAGAGACTGAAGTAAATAAATAATGAAGTAAACAGAATAAAGGCACTGAGAAGAAATGACATATATATAAAACAGAAGAAAATCTTTAACAAAAGTAATGTTCTTAAAGAAATGGAATAATATTGCCCCCATAATTCAAAGAATGTAGACTGAAAGATGTGATTGCCTAAAAAACCTAATCAAAGGACTAGAAAATAAATTAAGGAACTATCTTATCTCATAAATCAGAACCAAAATTCAGAGATTGAAAATTGGAAAGGAATTATAGGAAAAAAAATCATCATGTAAATTTCCTGAGGATAGAGGTATTGTCTATCTCATTTATCACTGTAACCTCAGCACTAAATATAGTGGGTACCCAGTAAATATTTGTTGAATGAATGAATGAGTGGAGACTTTTAGGATATTCAACATCTAGCTAATAGAAATTCTAGAAAAAAGAAAGACTAGAGACAACAGAGTTAGGAAATTATCAAACAACAGAAATACTAAAAAAACATTGCAAGGCTATTTTCCAGAGCTAGGGCTACGGTTTCTCAACTGAAAGGTCCCACTACATGTCCAGTAGGACTAATGGGATGGCAGAGAAGCTACTCAAAGCTGTATCATTGAGTAATTTCTAAACACCAAGGAAGAAGTTTCTGGAGGAAAAAAAGCAAGTAGTATACAAAAGATCAGGAATTAGAATGACATTGAACTCTTAACAGCATTGTTGAAATCTAGAAGATGGTGAAGTAATGCCTTCATAATTTAGAAGGAAAATGATTCTATCACACTCAAACTATCAATCAAGTATGAAGATAACACATACAGTTTTGGAAATGCAGTGTCTCAAAACACCTCAAATGTATATTTTCCTTAAGAATGTACCATAGGATATACCTCACCAAACCTAAGGATTTAACCTTTAGAGAGAGGACATGGGATTTGGGAAACAGATTATCTAACACAGATAAGGGAATCCTAGGGTGAGGGACACACAGGCAGGCGCAGGGAATGAGTCTAGATTGAAGCAAAGGAGAGAAGATTGCAATAAACATTTTTTCAGTTACAAGATGAACTGATACATTCTTCAGTTTGACCAGACATAACAATCTTGAGATAAGCCATTTTATCATATGGAAGGAATTAGCTAAAGGTGCTTGGAAAGCTAAACACATGAAAAAGAAAGCAGTTATGCACTGTAGGAAAACAGAAGGCTGAACAAGAAAGGAAACATTTCCATGGTATCATAGTCATTATAATATAAGGTATAAGAGGCAAAGGAGAAACTAGAAATTTAAGAGGGAGATTTTGGAAGCAAGAGGCAGGGGGATGGGCTGAGATGATAACTTCTCCACATAGGCATATGGGTGTTATAGCTAGTCCAAGACAGACTAACCAAGTTTAAGACTTGAAATTCCCTAAAGTGCCAAAGGATTGATACCGATCTGTATTTCCACATTCACAGTAAGGGTATGGCTATTTAGGGTCCCAAATTTTTGTGCAGAGTCGTCCACTAGGTTCCCTTTTTGTGTGGCTGACTGTTAAATGTGTTAAATGCATCTATTGTGTAATAGATGCCAGAGAGTCCAATAAGAATTAAAAGCTCGGGGAGACCTGCACATTTCCCATGTGTTTGATTTCATTTCTCAATCTATATACAATTGGGCAGCAGAAGGTAGGAGCCTTAATGGCTTGAGGTATTTGAGCAAAACCTCGCCCCAGATTTGCTGACAGCTAAACTCTGCAGATATAGTGAATGGTCTCTAGGGAGCCAGGCTAAGCAAAATTGAGCAGAAACATTAGCAGCTACACACTGTGGGAAGACATATTTCGTAGTTTGAGTCCAGACTAGTTAATTGACTGTTAAAAGCCAACAACCCTTAAAAGAACAAAACAAAATCCAGAATAGCAACATTATATTACATACAGTGTCCTACTTCCACTTAGAAATTATTAGACTTGCAAAGAAACAGAAAAGAGTGATCGATAACCAAAAGCAGGACTCAGCAAACAGGTACTGAGTAAGCACAAACATTAGATTTAGTAGACAAAGATGTTAAAGTGGCTATTATAAATATGGCTAAGAATTAAAAGGGGGAAAAAAAAACTCCTCAGTGAACTAATGGCAAATATCAACACATTGGAAACTTCAGAGAGAGAACTATTGGTAATTACAGAGCTGAAAAGTACAGTATCTAAAAAACTCACTAGATCAGCTAAACTATGTATTTGTGATGACTGAAGAAAAAATAATCATTGAACTTGAAGGTATATTAATAGAAATTAACCAATGCAAAGAACAGAGAAAAAGTCTGAATCAAAATGGACAGGACCTCGGAGATTTGTGGGACAATATCAAATGTTTCAGTTAATGTGTAAATGGAATCTCAGAGGTAAGAAGGAAAAAGTAACTTAGGAAAAAGTATTTGTAGAAAACAATGGCTGAAATCTTGGCAAATTTGCTGAAAAATATTAACTCTTAGATTCAAGAATTGCAGTGAAAAGTAGGATCAACACACAGAGCACTTCACCAGGCACATTGTAGTTAAACTATAAAAGCCAAAGATGAAGAGAGAATCTTGAAAGTACAAGAGAAAAATGGAACATCACACACAGGGACTTCCTGATACAATTAAGGCTGACTTTTTGCAGAAATAGTGAAGACACTAAAATGAGATATTCAAAATTCTGGTTTTGTTGGGGGGCGGGGAGGAAGAAAGAAGAAAAAAACCTGTCAACTAACAAGTCTATATCCAGCAAAACTGTCCTTCAAAAATGAAGGCAAAATAAGAGCATTTTCATACAATAGATGGAAGTTATGCATTATTAGCAGATCTTCTCTACAAAAAATGCTAAAGAAAGTTCCTCAGGCTGAAGTGAAAGATACCAAATGGTGATTGGAATCCACAGGAAGGAATGAAGATCAAGATAAATAGAAAATATATGAGTAAATTACCACAAGAGCAAACTCAAAGGTTAGCACAAAATTGAAGCCACCTTTTCCCTGCAATATGCCACTTCTCTAAAATTATTTTGATTGCTTTGAGAAGTAAGGACATAAAGACTACACAAAAAGGGAACCTAGTGGACGACTCTGCACAAAAATTTGGGACCCTAAATAGCCATACCCTTACTGTGAATGTGGAAATACAGATCGGTATCAATCCTTTGGCACTTTAGGGAATTTCAAGTCTTAAACTTGGTTAGTCTGTCTTGGACTAGCTATAACACCCATATGCCTGGCAAAATCAAATGTAAATCACCTCTGGAGTAAAATACCTTCATTGTAAAACTCACACTCCCACAAATAATTTGTCAAGTACAGTGTTCCCCATACAACAAAAGACAAATAAGCACACAAGTAAACTAGACTTCCTTCAACAAGAACTAACAAAAACAGAAACAACAGAAACAGATTTCTGTTATTAGAATTGTCAGATGTAAACTAGAACAATCGTGCTTTCGTTTATTGAACAATAGAGACAGGTTTGAATATCAAAATGCAGAGGAAACAAGAGCAAGCATATTTGGAAAAGATCTACAATAGAATTTCTAAAAAATATGTAACGGAAATTTAGAATTTAGTGGATGATTTAATGGCAGATTAGGTATAACTTGGAGAAAGAATTAATGAATAGAAGATAGATGAGAAGAAAAATCTGTAATCTAGCACAGAGACAAGAAGGCAAAAAATATAGGAGTGAGACATAAAACATACACCGAGAAGATCTAACATATGCTTTTTGTTTTTTTAGTTTTTATTTGAATTCCAGTTAACATATACTGTAATATTAGTTTCAAGTGTACAGTTTAGTGATTCAGCACTTACATACAGCACCTGGTGCTCATTCAATAAGTGTGGTCTGTAATCCCCATTACCTATTTAACCCATCCCCCCACCCATCTCCCCTCTGATAACCATCAGTTTGTTCTCTGTAGTTAAGAGTCTGTTTTTTGGTTTTCCTCTCTCTTTTTTTCTTCTGTGTTTGTTTTTTTTAAGAGAGAGAGAGTCGGGTGGGGGTGGGGAGGGGTAGAGGGAGAGGAAGAGAATCTTAGGCAGGCTCCACACCCAGCGCCGAGTCAGATTCAGGGCTTGATCTCACAACCCTGAGATCATGACCTGAGCCAAAATCGAGAGTCTGATGCTTAACTGACTGAGCCACCTAGGTGCCCCCATTTGCTTTGTTACTTAAATTCACATATGAGTGAAATCATACGGTATTTGTCTTTGACTTACTTCATTTAGTATAATACTCTCTAGCTCCATCCACATTGTTGTGAATGGCAAGATTTCATTCTTTTTATGGCTGAGTAATAGTCCATTGTGTGTGTGTGTGTATGTGTGTGTATATGTTTATAGCAGCATTATCAACAATAGCCAAATTATGGAAAGAGCCCAAATGCTCTTTCCATAATTTGGCTATTGTTGATAATGCTGCTATAAACATCAGGGTGTATGTATCACTTTGAATTAGTATTTTTTTTTTTTTATTCTTTGGGTAAATACCTAGTAGTGCAATTGCTGAATCATAGGGTAGTTCTATTTTTAACTTTTTGAAGAACCTCAATACTTTAACATGTTTAGTCAGACTTCTCGAAGGAAAAGAAATATAAGGGACCATGGCAATATTTGAAGAGGTAATTGCTAAGAATTTTACAAAAGTGATGGAAAACAGTAAGCAACAGATTGAGGAGGTCCAATGAATTCTAATTAAATGAGACCCAAGTAAGATAAATAAGAAGTTTATAGCGAGACGTACAGAATGATACTGCAAAACAAACAAAAACCAGAAAATCTTAAAAACTAAGAAAAATGACAGATCACTTTCAAAGGAGCAATAATAATGGAAGTTTGCAGACAATGGAATGATAGTGTCATTGTGCACAAAGGTTAAAAACTTAACCTAGGATTTTATATGGTGAAAATGTTCTATATGAAAGAATCAAGACAAAGATATTTTCTGACAAAAACTAGAATAATTCATTTCTAGTGGTTTGATTTTTTATTAAAAGAAATTATACTTGTGGAAGAATAGAATTCTACCTGTAGGGAATAGAAGAAAATGATCCCAGATAGAGGGTCTAAGTTCAAGAAGGATTGGTAAAGACAGCGGTAAATACGTGGGAGATATTAAGTGGATGCTAACTGCATAAAGCAGTAATAATGATACCTTGTAGGATTAAAATAGTAGAATCAAATTATAGTTTAACAGCAGCTGGGATAAAAAGGATCACTTCATAATGTTAAAAGGTTCAATTCTGCAACTAGTAACATGATTTCAAAATAGTAAAATGAAAAATTGAACTTAAAGGAGAAATAGATGACTTCATCACCATGGCTCTAGATGTATAATACTCTGTTAAACTGTCTATTGATTTTTTTTCTGCCTTTTTTTGTGTGTTGAGCAATTGAAAACATTTTCAGAAAATGTACTGAGAATAACTTTCCATCTTAATTCAAAATTGTTTGGCACACCATTCTTAATTATTGCATGGAATTCTCTTGCCTAAATGTATAATTGTTTAGCCCAACCATTCTCAATTTTTAGACAATTTGTTTTCAGTTTAATTAATATGAGCATATTTGTAGATAAATTTTTATAGACATGAATATTTCTTTGAGATAAATTCTTAGGTGTTTGATGATTGGCATCAGAATATTTTTAAGGTCTTCATCAAGTGGCTTTCCAGAAATGTATCATTTGCAGTTCTGAAAGCAATATGTGAACAAGTATACCATTTCTCCATATCTTCTTCATTGCTGCGTTTTGTCATTCACAAATATTTATTTGATGCTAAAGAATATCTTTTAATTTGTATTTCCTTCATTACTAGTGAAAAATATTTTTCATGGATTTCTTAAAAAACTCAGAATGGTTATGTTTATATTCATTTCTGTAAGATATTTAGTTTACTGTTAAATGTTTCTGTAAACTAAGTAATTAGATAACCAGATTTGTTGGGAATTGTACATTAATAGACTCGGTGAGATTCTGGGAAATACTAATAAGAGGTTTACAGCATCTTTGCATGGGCTTTGGGACACCATGATTCAAAAGCCTTTTCCAGTGACTCCTAGGTTTTAGACTATAGAAATGGGGAATCAGATGACTAGTTTCTGTGTAAGTGGGCTGTGGCTGTAATGTGGCTGATTTTTCTAACCTTTCATGCGTGTGAACAGAGTGTCGTTGTGCCAATATCCACTTGGGGCATGTCTTTTAAAACACCAGGCCCTCCCAAGTCCCAGGATACTCTCCTTGTAGTCATCAATGCGTTGGTGTCTTACACTTAAGTCATTTTGGGAAAATTTTTACTGAATGTGAATTTTACCAGTATGTGTATGAAATATTTAGTTTGGGATGTTGTAATTAGGACCAACATGCCCACCATAAAAATGTTAGTGCAACAGGGAGATTTTAAATTTTCTTATTTTTGTTTCTAGAAACCACCAAGTTTTTTATAACAGAGATAATTATTCAGCCGTCTGAAAGAAATTTTTCCATCGTACCAAGGTACAAGTAGCAAATTAAGTTTATTCTGTAAAATGTGGAGAATGATAGGTACAATTGATTATTTGGGAATTCATTTTTATTTATACCTTTCTTTATTTGGAAAAGAAAAATAAAAACCTTCGAAAAAGGCTTAGACAGTTGAACCAAACCACACATATAAAAGACTTGAGGATTCATTTATGGTTTGTTTATTATATAGTGGCATCAGTAAATGTGCTCATCATATAAATCTTCTAAATCTGAAAGTTTTTTGTGCTTCTATTTGTCAGATAATCAAGGTCTTATAACTTAATCATCAATAGGTTTCTGAATAATTATTTCTGGAATTAATTTGATTTATTTAAAATTTGAACATGAGTCAGTTTTCAAATGACTCCTGTGTTTAAAAAAAAAAAAAGTTACTTAGCCACTAAATCCATTAGCGTTTTCTCTCTTTGAATCTTTTTAGTTTGCAAACAGAAGTTAACTATAGTATGTCTTTCAGTTTATTTATGGATATCTAAAAATTATGGCAATTTGAATATAACCTTAAAATTTATCCTTCTGTAAATACTTTGTGCCTCAGCTCTGACTCTTTGAGGGGATGTAAATGGAAAACATTGTATTTAATACTGTCTAATGTTTGGGAGGAAATATTTCGCCTTCTTTTTTAACTTACTGTTTAATGTGCTACAGCACAAATGGAATATTGACTTGACTAACACAGTATTTTTTTATTCAGTCAAGAAGAATAGTTAGGTTTGGGGTGGGAAGTGTGTTAAGGATTGGAGAATAGGTTATAAGAAGACTGGAGCAAACACAAATACATTAAAATATATTAAAATCCACATTAGCGCAGTCTGTGAAGGAATGAGTAGCATATAGAAAAGTCTGGCTGCACACACCTCTGCCTTTTAGGTACCCTGTGGGTATTTTTGGCTCCTCTTGCCAGTAGAGTTATTACGAAAGGCACATTGTGAAAATTGATTTCTGTTCAAACAGGTCTCAGTTTGTACAGAACGTTATCGCCCAGTGTCTGGTGGAACTCTCCTCTGCTAGAAGCACTTTTAGATTCACTATTCAAGGTCATGATGGCAAAGTGTACATCTTGGTAAGAAGTGACTTCTCCCAGCTTTCTGTAGCTTGGTAATCCAGGGTCTCAGAAATTCTTTAGTCTTGCCATTCTCTTTTCTTTAATTCTCAGGTCTAGAAAATAAATGATCAAAAATTGAATTCATATATCAGTTTAATTCGTGAATCAAACTCCCTTAATTTAATAATAAAAGATCAAGTGCCTCTATGTGCCAGGTACTGGGGATATAGAGATATAAAACCTGATTCCTGCTCACACCACAAAATAAAGTTTTTCACTCCCAAGTTGTTAATAGGCTTTTCTTGGTCACTAACTTAATTCTGTTTCTGTCACTTTTTTCCCCTATTGATTTTTCCCTATTTTTCCCTCTTGATACTCTTCTGTTTAAAATATGTTCTGTTGCTCCTGTTTTTGTGTATGTGTGTATGTGGTAAGAATGCTTAACGTGAGACCTACCCTCTTCATAGATTTTTTTTTTTAGATTTTTAAGTGCATGATAACAATATTGTTAATTATAGGCACAGTATTACATGGAGATCTCTAGAACTTATTCATCTTGCCTAACTAAAACTCTGTGCCCTTTAGTGAGTAACTCCTCATTTCTCCCTCCTCTAGCCCCTGGCAACTACCATTTTATTCTCTGCTTCTGTGAATTAGACTATTTTATATTCCTTATGGAAGTGGCGTCAGGCAGTACTGTCCTTCTGTGTCTGGCTTATTTCACTTGGCATACTGTCCTCAAAGTTCATCTGCGTTGCATATTACAAGGTTTCCTTCTTTTTTAAAAAAATAATATTCCATATGTGTATGCACCACACTTGCTTTATCCATTCATCTGGTGACGGACATTTAGATGGTTTCTGTATCTTAGCTATTGTAAATAGTGCTGTAGTGAACATGGGGGTACAGATACCTCTTCGAGGTCCTGATTTTAACACATTGATGTTTGAGAAGTAGTGGCAAGTTTTGGATAAGAGGCCCTGCAGTTAGCAGAATCGTCCCCTGCATCTAAAACATGGTAGCTCGAAGGAGGGAGAGAGTTATGGTTGTTGTTAAGTGTGGCTTTGTAGCTGGCCATCCATTATGGGGACCCTGTGCTTCTCTGATTCCAGATCATTTCTACCAAAGCTAACATACTTCTGGACTGAAGTTAATACTGAGTGTGCCTCATAGTCATAGTCTGAAATCAGTTTTAATTTTTTTTTACTGTAAGGTTTTTCAGGTTAAAACTCAGGAATAGGAAACACCTGAAAACCTAAAACTTACTGCTAATATATATTTAAATTCAGGGGCGCCTGGGTGGCTCAGTTAAGCATCTACCTTTGGCTCAGGCCATGATCCCAGGGTCCTGGGATCGAGCCCCGCTTTGGGCCTGTTTCTCCCTCTCCCCCTCACCCTGCATGTGCTCTCCCTTGCGCCCTCTCTCTGTCAAATAAATAAATAAAATCTTTTAAAAAATAAATTCAAAGAAACTTTGTTGTAAAAGTAATACATTCTTGAAACATTCAGACAACAGGAAGAATGTAAAAGAAATGGTATTCCCCCATCTTGTCTTCACTCCTTGTCTTGCTATATCACAGTATTTGAAGGTAAACATTACTAACAGTGTGGTATGTGCACTTCAGCATCTTCCCCCTCTCTATATACAACTCTGTGTTCATATGCTCACATTCTGCTTTTCTGTTCGTGAAGCATACCCGTCACATGATGAGCATTTTTCTTCTTCATGTTTACTTCACTCAACAGTATAGCATAAGGATTGTTTCTTGTGAGTTTAAATCTAGACCAGGGTCTTGAGTGACTGGAAATCCAGTGTGGCTGTTAAAAGACAGTGCTGCGATGAAAATAATCTTTGTGTATTTTAGTACTTCTTTGGAAATAGACCTTTCTAATCTAAGACACTATTAGAAGTTGTGTTTTTTAAACCGATAATTATCACCCTCCAGAAAACTTGTACTCACTTATCCCATACAGTTAGACATTCTTGGTGCCCTACCCAGACCCTCCTTACTCAGGCTGGTGCACCCAGTTCCCAGCTGCTGAGACATGCCCTTACATGACAGGTGCCACCTTGTTCGGAAAGTTACCTCTTCCCCACCCTTGCCCTGGTCAGTCTACTGCCAGTGATTTGACCCTGGGGTACAGAAAGCAGGGGCCTCCTGTCTCGAGGTGGGACAGACTCTGTAGGTGCCATTCTTGCGTCAGAGCTCCCCATGGGATGAGGCTGAAGCCAGACTCCAGCTGAGCCCCTCAGTGAATAGCGTGCATTCAAATCCCGAAACCCTCTTCCACCAGCAGACCAGCCCCCTCTACTGAACTGGATGCTATTATCTTTTTTAATTTTTCTTTTTTAAGATTTTATTTATTTGTCAGAGAGAGAGAGAGAGAGTGCACAAACAGGGAGCGGCAGGCAGAGGGAGAAGCAGGCTCCCCACTGAGCAAGGAGCCCGCTGCAGAACTCAATCCCAGGACCCTGGGATCATGACCTGAGCTGAAGGCAGATGCTTAACCGACTGAGCCACCCAGGTGCCCCTGTTATCTTTTTGTACTTGCCAATCTGATACGTGAGAAAGGGTGGCACATGATTTTTACATTTCCTTATTATAATATTAACATTTTTACATATGTTTATCACTTATTTCTTCTGTTAATTCTGTTCATATTCTTTGCCTTTATTTCTTTTGGGCTGTTTTTGCCCCCTTATTGATTCCTGGGAGCTCTATATATTACAGATAATAACTTTGTTATCTACATATTAACTATTTTCTCCTAGTTGGTTGTCCTTTTTTTTTTTTTTAACTTTATTATCTCAGTGGCTCTACCAGATGTTACACTTTGAAAGACTTATCATACTTAAAAATTATATACAGGTTTCTTCTTTTTTTTCTGGTATTTTTATAGTTTTGTTTGTGTTTTGTTTTTTAGTGGTGGTATGAGATACGGATAGGGTGATGATAATATCCTTATACTTGGACTTTTCTCTCCGTATCTTTAGCTATGGCTTTTAAACTCAGACAGCTTGGTGATTGAATCTTTGGGAAGTTCCAAGAGTATCAAAAAATTCCCCCTGTTGGAAGATATCTTGAAGGCAGATTCCAGTTCTGCCTGGAATGCTGTCAAGGTCCTCTATCAACCATGCATCAAAAACAGGAATGAAAAGTAAGTTGTGCTTTTGTTTTCTCATTCCACATTATGTTTTAGTTCCTTTTGCCATTTGGTGTTGAGAAATTAATGAATTAAATGGTACCATACCACTTCCCTATTTGAAGCTTCTAGGAGTCATATTGCTAAATATTATGCTTTAAAGTATATTGAATTATTACAGATGATTCCTGCTAATGTGCAGAAAGCTTGCTTTTACTGAAAATAATTGGTCTTTTTCTTGTAATCTCAGCTGTCTGTGCATATGGCTGCAGTACTAAATCAGGTATCAACACTATGAATATTTACTTACAAGCACTTTCCAGGCATTCAGGATGCAAAGGTGAACAAAACACAGTCCTTTTTTCCTGGGCTTGTCATTGTAATAGGGAGAAGGCAGACCATCAGCAAGAGAGTCATAAAATCATGAACTGATGTGGCTCCTACTAAGAGCCAGGCACTCATCGGAGGGCTTCTGGCTCATTTAAGCCTAACATCAACCCTGTAGGGTAAGGTACTATTATCACCCTCTTTAGAGATAGGGACACTAAGACACAGGTGTAGAAATTACTTTAGTGAAATATAAAGCAAGGCAAAGTAGTTGGGGAGTAGTAGGATAGGTGTAGGAGGTTGTCATTTTATATTGAAAAGTCAAGGAAGTTTTCTCAGATAAGATGATATTTAACTGGAAAACTCGAAGGAAGAAAAGGAGTGAGCCTTATCTGAGAGAACAGTGTTCCTGGCAGAGGGAACAGTTGGAAGTTTATACTTGTCTTGTACTCTCCAGTGAGTTTGATCAAATTTGTAATAAGAACAGAAAGATCCCAGTCTTTTTGGGGAAGTAAATAAGAAATTTTGAAAAATTGCTCTTTTCTTTTTTGGATTATACAAGCAGTACAAATCATAAATATTCAAACAGTTGAGACATACATAAAGTAAAATATGAAAATTCTTCCCTCTCTGGAAATAAAAGTAGGTTGTCTATTCTTCAACTCCTTTTTCTATTTCTATTTATTTTTCATTTTAACATGATTTGAACAATACAGGTGTATTTTTTACACTTAAAAAAAAAGGCAACACTGTAGAGTCTTGGAAATTCTTTCCACATAAGTGCTTGGCATTTTATGAAATGGATGTACTATAAATAATTTAACTGTTTTTCTGTTGATAGATACTTGGGTTATTACTGTTTTCCTTCTGTAATTAGCATTGTGCTGTGTGTTGTTACACAAATTTGGTTTGTAATTATGTGTACTTTTCTTATGAGGGATTTGTAGAAGTAGAATTGCTGTGGCAAAGGTATGACGTTTAAAATTTTGATAGATAATACCAAGTTACTTTGTAAAAAAGCATCGCCAGTTTATATATACTCCTACCTGGAGTTTCTGTAAATTCTACTTCCCTGAAGCCTCACCCAAACTGCCATTTAGATTTTTGCCCATTTTTTGCCAGTCTAAATGAAACAGCTCAGATGACTACCCTTGTGTTGTTTTGAGGTATGATCAGAGAATATGGCTTATGCTTTGATGCTTTGGGGACTTTGGTGTGTGTGTGTGGCCTAATACAGTCACGTTTTAAGCTGTTGGTTGCTTGTATCCTCTATTTACTTGTGTGTGTTTGTGTGTGTGTGTGTGTGTACTTCTGTATATTTAGACTTATATAGTGAAGCTTATTAAAACCTTTTCACATTTTTTATTCCTTTGAAATGTGCATTTTTGAGAAGGGTGTGTTAAATATAGAAAAGTTTTTTTTGTTCTGATTTTGATACCAGTTTTTGCATTATATATTTTGAAGCTATGTTTTTAGGTACATAAATATTTGTGCCATGACACTTTGCCTAATTACATATTTTATCCATCAAAGATTTTGCTCTTCCTCCATTTGATGCTATTTCCCTTTAATTACAATCTGCCTGATGTTAATATTGTTATATTTCCTTTCCTTTTTTTTTTTTTAATTGCTAATTTGTTATACAGTAGTCCCCTCTTACATGGAGTGTCATGTTCTGTGGTTTCAGTCACCTTTGGTCACCTGCATCCACAAGCAGATGATCCTCCTCCTAACGTATGGTCAGAAGGTCAGTCATAGCCTAATGCAAGGTCATGGTGTCTCCATCACTTGCCTCACTTCATCTCATCACATAGGCATTTTGTCATTTCACGTCATCACCATCATAAGAAGGGTGAGTTCAGTACAAGAAGATATTTTGAGAGAGAGAAAGAGACCACATTTACATAGCTTTTATCACAGTATATCATTGTAATTGTTCTATTTTATTATTAGTTATTGTTAATCTCTTACCATGCCTGATTTATAAATTAAACTTTATCATAGGTATGTATGGATAGGGAAAAGCATAATATATATAGGTTTGGGTACTATCTGGGGTTTCAGGCATCCACTAGGGGGTCTTGAAATGTAACCCCCATGGAGAAGGGGAATGTTTTTCCATTTCTTTCTTTACAGCTGTCCTGTGTTATTTTATCTTAGGTGTATGTCTTGCTAACATGTACCTTGTAAACTCTGTAGGTGGATATTTTAAAACTTCATTATGACTGGGGCACCTGGCTGGCTCAGTTGGTAGAGCATGCAACTCTTGATCTTAGGGTCGTGAGTTCAAGCCCTACATTGTGTGCAGCCTACTTAAAATAAATTTAAAAAAAAAAACCAAAAAACAGGTGAATTCAGAGAAGGACAATTATCATATGATCTCACTGATATGTGGAATTTAAGAAACAAGGCAGAGGATCATAGGGGAAGAGAGGAAAAAATGAAACAAGATGAAACCAGAGAGGAAGACAAACCATAAGAGACTCTTAGTCTTAGGAAACAAAATGAGGGTTGCTGGAGAGGAGTGGGTAGGGTGATAGGGTAACTGGATGATGGATATTAAGGAGGGCATGTGATGTAATGAGCACTGGATATTAAATAAGACTGATGAATCACAGACCTGTACCCCTAAAACCAATAATACATTATATGTTAATTAATTGAATTTAAATTAAAAAAAACCCTTATGAGTGGCAAAAAAAAAAAAAAAAAAGAACCAAAGATATAGGTACTTATTGGGGTGTTGGAATAAAGCAAATATAAATGGTCCATTAAAAAGAAACAAAAAACAGGTGAATTAGAAGAAAACAAACTCCAATACAACAGTCTATTTTAAAAGTGAATTTAATCCACACTAACTGTGATTATTAATGTAGTTGAACTTATTTTATTGTCTTTTACATTGGTTGTCTTCTCTATCATTTCTTGATGATTTGGAAGTAAAAAAAATATCTATTTCAAGATGATTTTTAGTGGTTAACCTGAAACTTCTAATATATGTACTTAAACTTCTTTTTTTTATTATCAATTTCTAGATTTAACTAGTACCCATACTCTTCACCAGAACAAGAAAAGACTCTTAATAAGGTTTCTCATTTCTTCTTTCTTTCCCTGTCTTATGCACTTTCCTCTATGTTGAGATCATTTATGATTCTACTGATAGTGGTTCTTTCTTCTTAAAGAAGCCCTACCCCATTTGCTTACCTCTTACACTCCTGTATCATGGCCATAAATGTCTTTATATTTTTATTGTATGTCTACTTCCATGAAAATATTTGATGTTTAAATATTTATAAATAGTATTATAGTATGTATTTTTTTGCTGTTTATTTTTCACTTCATAGTCTTTGTTTCATTGTTTGCTTTGATGAAATATGCTCTTTCATAGTTCTTTTAAAGTTGAACTGTAGTCAGTCCTTGAATACCTGATAATCTCTTATATGATATCTCTCTGAAAACCTATAGGATTTCTCTTTATCTTTGTTTTTCTAAGATTTCATACAGATATATCTAAATCTTAGTGTTTATTCAGAATTTTCTCATGTCACATCTGTTCTTATTTTACAAATGAAGTATTCTCTCAGTATCTGAGAATAATAGTGATACTTCAAGTCTTCTGTTTTCTCTACTAACTCTTTTCTTTGGGTGTTGACTCTCTTCTCTTTGAAAAGATTTTTTGTGATTAATACTTTGTTTCATGGTGTTGCTTTCCCCAAATGTTTGATGCTTCTGCTAGAATTCCTGCATTCGGTTGTATACTCCAGTGAATCAGGACCTTGTCTATCTTGCTCATTACTACATCTGGATGAGTTGTTTATTTTTTAAGATTTTTTTTTTAATGTATTTATTTGAGAGAAAGAGAACACAAACAGGGGGAGTGGCAGAGGGAGAAGCAGACTCCCCTCTGAGCAGGGAGCCCGATGCGGGGCTTGATCCCAGGACCCTGGGATCATGACCTGAGCTGAAGGCAGACATTCAACCGACTGAGGCACCCAGGCGCCCCTAGGTGAGTTCTTGTAGAAGTGTTTAATACATACAATTTATGGTCACATTTGACAAAACATTTGTTAAATGAATGGTTCATAGTTTTCTGCTCATCTATATTTGATCATTACTGTTCATTTATGGGTGACTCTAGGTTCTTGTTTCCATAGTCTGCCTTTACGGATTTGTGAAAGAGAACTCAAAGGATGTACCAGTTTGGATGGGCCAGTTTGTCTTGTGAGAGCTTTTGGGTGCTAAGGAAAAGGAATTGGTAGTAGATTTCAGTTACAGTGGTGAACTTATATTCATTATTGTGAAGGATCTTTACACTGCCTCTCTTGAGGAGAGTGACAAGGATTCAGTGTACTGTCTCATTATTTCACTCATTCCTAACAAATCCCTGTGACGCTGGAAATAAAATCACTGTAGTCAGTTGTGTTCTGCTGTATTTGATTAGTAGACTTTTTTTTTTTTTAATTTTGTATGTCATGTCTTGGGGACATAATAAATGAGTTTGATGAGTTCAGTTGGCCTGTTGTATATCATCTTTTGTTTTGCTTTTTCTCCTACTACTGGTTGACTCTGTATCCCCCAAAGGTAGTAAAGGAACTTCATAAATTGGGTAAGCATCCTGCGAGTTATTTGCTTTTGTCTTTAAGGACATTGTCTTTTAAGAGACATTAGTTTCTTTCTTTGGGGGCATT